GCAACCACATCTTCCCCTGCCACAGTGTCATACTCCTCCCTCTGACACATTTCCTCATCCTATATAATAAAAGGCTAATGTGCTAAGTGTCCGGTTGTCCAGGTGGCCGTTCAACCAATCAAAGTGTAATATGCTAATGATATGCTAAGGCTGCTCAACCGCTTACTATGACATGCACTGTCTACCAGGGGGCAGGGGCTCTGACTGGTAGGTTAGCTAGCTGCTGGGGTCCGGTTGATCAGGACTGAGTGAGACCGGCCAGACATATCCTGGAGCCCTCCCATGGTCTCTTCCTGGCTGGCCAACCTCTCGCGTCCCTCCCCGGCCTGGATTGTGCACTGGTGGGGTCCCTCGGCCTGGCCTGCACCCTCTCGCAATCTGGGACCCCTCAGGGGATGTTGGAGAGCTGGTTTGGCCTGATCCTGAAGGCCAGGCAAAGGGACCCCACTGGTGCACGGATTTGTGCACCAGGCCTCTATTCTAAACATGATACGGAGGGTGGCTCTAGCTAGGAATTACCCAGCAACTGGACTTTCTTGATTCATCCAACATGTTTTCACTGGATGGCTGTTGTGTCCCAAGAGTGAGGCCATAACATTGTATCCATAGTTCATACTGAGTTCTTCAATTGGATGTTCTTCCCCAACTCATCCCTGACCATCTTCACTTTCCTGATCACAGTGTTCTTCCTTAACTGTGGGAGACACAGTACTTAAAGTTTCTTAACAATCCCCCACCCAAAAAATCTGACATATCTTTTCTAGGAAGAACTTCATTTCTCCCAAGAAATTCTCAAAGAGGCTTATGTCCTCCAGAGAATGAAAAGGTTTTGAAAACACATGTAGCAGTGTCTATCTTGCTTTTAAAGGAGATACCAGTTGTTTCTCCCCAAGCCCTTTCCAGTATTTGTGTGCAGAAAGCGTAAATTTCAAGAAGTCTTTCCTTTCAACTCTGACTCTAAGACTTTCTAAGACTTTTTAAGTTCATTTATGTTCATTGCAACAGATAGTTACAATGATCACACAGACCCTTAGGAAATAATCATTGTCTGGGGTAGTTACCCATATAGCCTACCAAGATTTGTGATTGATACCCTAGCTGGTTGACAGAATGTGGATTCCAGGGAATCAGGGTAAGTCATGGTCAAGGAATTGGTTTAACTAGACCGACATTCCCAGGAAATATTATGTGCTAAATGGGGCCAATGAAAGCACTTCTTCCTGGCTATTAAAGCTTATCTAGATGTTCCCCCATCCACTCCTTTAGATTCAGATGGAAGGTATATCAACCATCTGAACCCAAGGTTAAAAGCTAAATAAGGCAGCCCTCCACATGCTAAAGGCAAGGGGACAGTTTCATTTCTAAGCACCCAATTATCTCTAAGAGGTAAAGTGCCCAAACAACCATGTTGGTTTTAGAGAACGTAGCCTCCCCCAAGACTCAGTTCATCTCCGTTCAAGTTGGCTGCACCTTCCCTCCATCCTCCTCCTCCCCTCCTGGACTCTGGCTGGCTTTCCCAGTTTGAAAGCTCCTGCAGCATTTCTGGTAATCTACAATGCTTATCAACCAGCCTCCTTGGGGGCATATTGAATATCAGACAAAAACACTGCAGAATTGGACAAGCAATTATTTAGTTCTACAGTGATTCATAATGATGAGAGCAAGCCGATTTTCCCTCGCGGCACTCGGGGATGATGAGGATAAGCTGAGACGAGCTCACCAGTCGTGATTTGACTTCCAGCAGTCTGGGAACAGACTGTGCTCTGCGAGCTGCATGGTCCAAAGAATACAAAAAGAGACACAAGCCAGTGTGACCCTTATGCTGAGCTTAATTTGCCTTTTACAAAATCATGCTGTTCAAGATCTTCTCTCCAGTTGTTTTCTTCAAGGTGGCTCTTTGCCTGCTCTATCACTGAGCAAAGGAACTCCGTGGAGTTGAAGAAGAGTCAGACAATAATTAGAAGAAGCCTGTGACTGAGAACCTTAGGTGATAGCCATTCATCCAGAAGGCTCATATTGGCTGCTGTAGCATCTTAGTTGGGCCCTGTATATATAGGAGATTAGCTGAGCCTTCCATTTCAGACTTAACAATGCCCGGGAAGCATGGCGTCCAGCCACTGCCTGAAGAGGCCATGTCTGAGCCACATCCCTATGGCATGTGTAAACCATCTACCTTGTCACAGCCATCAAAGAAGGTCAGTTGGCCACCACGCCCTATGCTGAGTCTTCTAATCTTTCACTTTCCATTCTTTTTCCCTTAAAGCAATCATATGTGTCACACTAAGAGTTTAGCAGCACCTACCTCAATATTTTGGAGGACAGATGCAATGATATTTTTTTCATTTACATATTCATTCAACAAATAAGAACAGAGGCATTGAACACAGTACCAATGATGCAGCAATAAATAAAACAAAGAGCTTGTATTCTGGTTGGGGAGACAGATGATGAGCAAATAAAGTGTGATGAGATCTCATTTTGAAAGAGCTGAATTAATACAAGATAAGACTCATCATGAACTTGATATCTCAAGTCTATAGTCAACAGACCTGGTTGCAGAGAATAATCCAAGGAAAGTGTTCATATAGATTCTGAAAATGATACTTTTTCTTCTTTACTGGATTAATGATTTTGATTCGTGGATTTGCTGTGGCAGGTTTCTCCCTGGGTCATAAAATATTTCCCTTTGCAATGACTATGATGGCTACTGCCACTGTTTTTCTTATCATTCTTATTGCGGTAAATGTTGATGTATGCTGAGAATCGGAGGAATTCACCGCTCCCTAACTAGAAGAACCATACACATTGATGTACAGAATTGAGCACATTGAAATTTAGGCATTAGCAATGGAGAAACCAACAGTCAGCACCTGCCTATAATCTTAACTGTAACCTGGATATCTCTAGACCTTTGGACCTTTTTAAAGTTCCTTGAGCATTTTACTTGCAAAATAAACACTGATTTTTGAGAGTTAAAAAAGAGAGAGAGAGAGAGAGTGGTAAGAAAACCTGCTGGCAGCGACTTTAGAAAGTTTACAACGTCAGTTTGAGACCTCGTGGTTATTGGGTTAATCCCTCATCCTGCCCAAGAGAGGGAGACTTCGTTGGGGTTGGTAAAACTCTCCTTCCTCCCACGACTCTAGTTGGGACCCATCTCTGGCTGCCATTTCTCATTCAAAATAAGTTCTATCCCCGACAGAAGCCTGGAGTTGCTGGACCAGGAGAGGCTGAGGGCAGGAACCCCATGGACACGCTGCTTCTGCCTTTGCCTTCTGAACAGCAATCAAGGCTGCCTCCCCTCAAGTCAGCCACCAATGGAGCCGCCCTCCTTCTCCTCAACTCTGATTCAGAGAAAGAGAGAAACAGCCAATTAACCAAGAAGTTTCTCTGTGAGGGCTCTGAAAAAGGAATTCTTCTGACCACGAGTCCTCATATCACACTACTATTATTAGCCATCATCCTTGAGAATTTTCCATCATGAAGAGCAAACACCATAAACAGAATGAAAGAAGCATTATCTGTATCTAAGCATACCTCCTAAGGGTCTGCACTGTACTAATTTTGCACCAACAGTGGCTCACTCACTAACTTTTCAATTGATTATTATGCTATGGGGTGAGTTATTCTAAACAGGCATAAACTTAGATCACTTCATAACAAGGATATACTAGTATATTGCTTTGTTTCGTTTTAGACAATTTTGTTCTCTAAAAAGGCTAGCGGGGAAAGCCAGTTTTAAAACCCTTGGAAGCTTTTATCCATTTGGAAGTAACTTTATGTTTCAGACTCACTTTGTGACTTGAGTTGCTTCAAAAATATTTTAACCTCAAATGCCCCGTGTGTTTCAAACTGGAAAGCTCAGTGTGTCCATCAATCCCTTCCACAAAAGATATATTCTGTAATCTTATGTGCATAAGCTAACCCCCCAAAACAGGGTTGTTAAAGAAAATATAGGTTACTCAATTAAATTTGAATTTCAGTTAAACAAAAAATCTTAACTTTTAGTATAAGACTGTTTCAAAAATTGCACGGGGGATGCTTATACTAAAAAAGTATTCATTGTTTATCTGGGCTGTGTTTTTATTTGCTAAATCTGTCAATCCTATCCCAAAGAAAAGGTCTGAATCAATCACAGTCCCCTTCATCACTCACCACATTCACCACCTTCATTCCATTCCTGATTGAAGCCCAGTCTTCAAAAATAAATGGGAAGCCAGGTCCTGTGGTTCAGTGGTTGAGTGTCAACCTATGAACATGGAAGTCATGGTTCAATTCCTGGTCAGGGCACATGCCTGGGTTGCGGCCTCCAGTAGGGGGCATGCAAGAGGCAGCCGATCAATGGTTCTCTCTCATCATTGATGTTTCTATCTCTCCCTTCCTCTCTAAAATCAATAAAAAAAATTTTTAAGTAAATGGGAATACCGATAAATCTTGAGAAAAAATTGTAAATCACTTGGTATTGAAGAGGATTGAAAAATACAGTTGCCACTGGCTGGGAAAACAAGGAATTAGGCAACTTGTGTAAAATCTGTATGTGCATACTAAACAATAAACATGCTCACTTTCAAAGACTTGTGCCATAATTAATGTGTATAAACCTTGCACAATTGAAACCTATAATTTTTTTTTGGACTGCTTACGCCATAGAAGGTAATTCTTAAATTTCCAAATTTTTCTTTTTTTCTAAATATACTTTTATTGATTTCAGAGAGGAAGGGAGACGGAGAGAGAGATAAATCAATGATGAGAGAGAATCACTGATTGGCTGCCTCCTGCACGCCCCCCACTGGGGATGGAGCCCGCAACCAGGGCATGTGCCCTTGGCCAGAATCAAACCCAGAACGCTTCAGTCTGCAGGCTGATGCTCTATCCACCGAGCCAAACCAGCTAGGGCAATTTCCAAATTCTTAATAGCTACTGGGACCAGGTTCACATTTTATTTTGATATTTTGATTAACTTGCTTAATCTCATCTAATCTATTTTCTCTCTCTCCCTCTAGTTACCTGAACAAAAATAAATATCTGTCAGTTATTGACAAAGATGCATTTGGAGGAGCATACAGTGGACCGACTCTGCTGTGAGTAAGACGAACAAAAGAATATATCAGTCTATTTTTTCTTTTCTTTTTCTGGACAAGAGGTAGGCATTAGGAGGAGCAGCTGTTTGTGGGGAGGGAATGTTGTTGGCGTGGACAAAGACTTCTGCTAGTACTTTTCTGCCCAGCTGTATAGGCTATTGTTGGGAAGAAAGCCCTTGTTCTTTGAGACTCAAAGGCCCCACACTCCACCGTGCCATCCTGATGCCTGACCAGGCAGCCACTTTGATGTGGACATGCCTGGAGGCCCTCTCATAGGGAAAAGCAGACATTTTGAACAGCTGCTTTTTGCAAAATTCTGAGACACGATGTCTGCAAATAGGTGGAAAGCACTCTAGTTTGCACAAAATCTTAGGTGCACAATGCCTGACACAAAGATGGAAGAGTATAGGTCAGTGATGGCGAACCTATGACACGCGTGTCAGAGGTGACATGCGAACTCATTTTTGTGGTTGATTTTTCTTTGTTAAATGGCATTTAAATATATAAAATAAATATCAAAAATATAAGTCTTTGTTTTACGATGGTTGCAAATATCAAAAAATTTCTATATGTGACACGGCACCAGAGTTAAGTTAGGGTTTTTCAAAATGCTGACACGCCGAGCTCAAAAGGTTCGCCATCACTGGTATAGGTGATAGTTGTATTCATATCTGGAAAAACTTATTGTTGGGAGAGATGGGATGTGAACACCATGGAGAAACATCATGGAAAAAGTACCTATTTGTGCATTTCCTCTGATGTACACCTCCATGGCCAACATTGATCAAGTTCTGTCAATTCCATCTCCCTGCGGCCTATCCATCAGTGCCGTCTTTTCACCTCCTTGGTTTGGCCTTACTTTAGAAACTCATTGAGCATCTAGTCAAGTGCTTGCCAATGGAGCACAGTACCTCAGGAGAAGCACCAATCAATCCAGTAGAGATAAAAGGATATAGTAGAGGCTCTATGTATATTTATGCTTTTAAAAATAACAACAAATTAAGTGTTACTAATATTTTATATACAGACTAGAGGCCCAGTGCACAAAATTCATGCACGGGTGGGGGGGGGGGCCCTCAGCCTGGCCTGCGCCCTCTTACAATCCGGGACCCCTCAGGGGATGTCGGGCCTAAACCAGCAGTCAGAAATCCCTCTCGCAATCCAGGATGCTGCATGCACCAGTTACCATACTTTTCATACAGGTGAAAGGCATCTTGCCGTCTACTTTTTTTGCCCTAATTATAAAAAGTAGTACATAACATGATCCTTCTGAGGCAGTAGTACCAGTACCATTTTCCCCATCTTATGGGTGGAAAAATTGAAGCAGAGAGAAAAGTAATTGGCTTTGTCACACAGTTATAAGTGTCAGAATCAGGGCTGACCACAAAATGTGCAAGCCAGAGTCCATGCATGTCATCACTGCATCATCCTGTTTTTTCAGAGTCCATGCATGTCATCACTGCATCATCCTGTTTTTTCAGTGTTAGAGTAGCCTTGCCAGGTTTTAATTTTTAAATCTAAGAGACTGTTCCCAATATATAGGGTAGGGTCCCTAGGCCTGGCTGGTGATCAGGACCATCTGTGAGGCAACCGACAGGAGGGGCAATTGGGGAGCCCCCACTGGCACCCGCCTTGGCCGGCAGCCTCCCACCCCTGCCTCCAGTCACCTCCCTCTCGGGGGGGCAGTGTGAGTCATAGCAACCGATCATTCCACCAGTTGTTCCGCCATTCGGTCGATTTGCATATTAGGGTTTTATTATTTAGGATGACCACTATCCCTCAAGTGTCAGGTAGGGAATGGAGGCATCCAAGAAAACAGTGAGTGATCCACAGTGTTAAAGACTTATCCTCACTCTCACTTTTAACAATTCTACTTCACTTTTAGATTAAATGCACCCACTTACTTGGATTTATGGCCTTATTCTCTTAATGCATAGGTTCCATGAAAGAGGGCAGAGTGACCCTGAAAATCTGTATTATGTGGAGATTCATTGTAAAGTCATGACAAATACTTTAAAAAGTTTTATGCATTCTTCTTTTTATAAAAAGACAAGTGAAAAAATGTGTTGACCTTTTCTGTGATTTTTTTTAACCTGAGAGCTACATATTTTTTAATCTTCACCACAGAATATGTTTTTATTGATTTTTAGAGAGAGAGAGAGAGAGAGAGAGAGAGAGAAAGTGACTAAAACCCACGACCTACGTATATGCCCTGACCAGGAATCTAACCTGCAGACTCTTTTGATGTACAGGATGACACTCCAACCAACTGAGCTACCTGGCCAGAGCCTAAAAGGTATTTTTGAAAGATATCTTTAACCACTCCTTCAAGATAAAGGTGATATTTCACCAATGAATGAGAAAGGTTGCTGCTTTTCTAAAGAAATTTGTGATTTGGAAAGAGCCTGTAGAATAGGTATTTGAAAACATTTCCACGTTATATGATTTTCCTGGTGAAAATGATGAATGTCACTTATAAAAATTCTGTTTTGTTAAAATCAGACAGTGAAGATTAACCTGCCTTTAAATCTTCCCATGAAAACAAAGTTGTTCAAACTGGACAGTGAAGTAGTTGACTTACATTCCAGTACAAGCTTCTGACCTTATCAAAGACTCGTAGCAATAGCCAAAGGGCACCACACCTTCAGCAGTGCTGGTCTAGCTGATAAAAGCCTCCAAATCTCCCCTACCCTTCCCTCTTGGTTCCACCAAGTAGGGGAATAGGGAGGAATTCAGAAGCAGTGATCAACACAGGAGAGAAACAAATGTAATTCCCAGGATGACCAAAAAGACAGGGCCTGGGAATCTTGAGACTCAGGCGTCCATATCAGAGCTGGAGAATGGAGGACGCCAAAAGAAAGTTCTAGAAATAAAAAGGGATTGGTAGATTATCTGACAAGACTGACTGTATGAAAACCTGGTTTGAGAGGTGTTTTACACAACTTTAGAGCACGTGGCAAGACTAAGCAAGAGGTCCACTCAAACCAAGATACGTTAATAAAAAAAGAGAGGCAGACATCTCATGAAGAAACAAAAAAGTTACATAAAAAGGAAATTAAATTACAATATGCAGAGTTGTAATAACTAAAATACTGAATATGGGTTTATCCAAATATGTCCTCAGTCTATTTCAGGGGAGTAGAGGGGATGTCAGGTAGGTGTGTGTGTAGGGTGAAGAGAGCAAAACTCCCATCTTCATGGTAGAGAGTCAGTAGGTGAATCAAAAGCCAATACATGGAGAAATATTTCCAATTATGGAAAAAAAATCATAAGTTAAGAGTGGTTGCTTCTTCAAAAAGCAGAATGCAGGGCCCTAACCGGTTTGGCTCAGTGGATAGAGCATCGGCCTACGGACTGAAGGGTCCCAGGTTCAATTCCGGTCAAGGGCATGTACCTTGTTTGCAGGCACATCCCCAGTAGGAGGTGTGCAGGAGGTAGCTGATCGCTGTCTCATCGATGTTTCTAACTCTCTATCCCTCTCCCTTCCTCTCTGTAAAAAATCAATAAAATATATATATTTTTTAAAAAGCAGAATAAAAAAAAAAGCAGAATGCAGGGAGGGGCAGCACAAGGGCTTGCCGTGGGGGTTATCAAGTTTCCAGTGTAATTTGCTTTTTTTAAAAATAGGTCCAGTCCTGGCCAGTTGGCTCAGTTTTTTGGAGCATCACCCTGGACACCAAAAGGTTGCAGGTTCGATTCCCAATCAGGGTACATACGTAGGTTGCGGGTTTGATCCTTGCACATATGGGAGGCAACCAATTGATATTTATCTATCTATCTATCTATCTATCTATCTATCTACCTACCTATCTATCTACCTCTCCCTTCCTCTCTCCCTACAAATCAATAAACATATCTTCAGGTGAGGATAAAAATAAAAAGTGGGCCCATGCGTAATTTTAATAAAAATTAAATTAAGAAAAAATAAGCCACCAGTATAGGAAGAGAGGGACAATGGGGGTGGCAGCATCTGAGAGGCCAGTAGAAGGAAAGGTAGAAAAGAACAAAGATAAGCCCAGTCTCATTCTTCAAATTCCAAGCACAGTTTTCTTAAAATTCATTTAACTAAGTATGCACTAAAGTGACATCACTAATTCTTGTGTTGAACTTTTGTCAAAATCTTCATTACTTTATTTTCCACATACTTCCTCCTCGAGACTAGACTTTAAGATCCTAGAGGAAATGGACTCTCATATACTTTTTGTAACCCCCCTACTTCAAAAGAGAAGAAAGGAAGTACTCGATAAATATTTGATAAATTGTAACTGAAAATCAAACAGCCATGACTAAGATGGGATTTGATGTAAAAGCCAAACTTGGAAAAGCTTAAACTTCATCTAGAAAGAGAACGGAATGGCATAGGTATGTCTGCCTCCTAAAGGTAATTATGACAGAATACAGTCATCTCTAAAGTTGGCAAAAACAAAAGTGCCCACTTAGTTTACCACCTTTTGCCAAAGTTATTTCTCGGAAAAGAATCCAATTTTAAATAGATGCCACAGCTAAAGTAAGATCTATTCTCCAACCTTTGCTATTTTTTTTTTTAAAAAAAACCTTCTTAATTTTATTTAATAACATTCTTACTTATTGATTTTTAATCAAGATATGCAATCTCATTTTCTATTTTTATACTTTCTATTTTTTACTATCTTCTTTTCTTTTAATCTTATTTTGAAAGCGTTCTTGGTGTTTATAATCCCAAAGGAAAGAACACCCTGAAATGCAATGCCTTCTATAATAACCAGGGTTCTCTAAGGTCTAAATTATATAACCCACACTAATAAGATTAACTTACTGTTAAAAATGACTATACTATTACAGTCCCCCTTACTATTATAAGTATCTCCTAAGAAGGGGAAATCCCTTATAATATCCTTGAGTTTGCATTACATGTATCAATAAAAAATAAACTTCAAAATTAACCATTGTTCTTTGTGCTGGTCAAACTAATCATTTGAAAATCTAAGGGTCATGGCTCTGCCACCTTGGTGTACAGAAAA